TCTCAGGGGGAGGGGGATGTTTGGTATGAAATTGGCTTAGGATTGGACCGTTGGTTTGTGTGAAACTCAAAGAGCCATTGTAACGGTGAAATGCTCGTCAAGTTGTAAGGGACGGGATGTAACAACAATAGGACCATTGTTGCCGAACCCCAGTTGTCACAACAATAACCGTTGACCAACAAGCCATCAATTGCGCGATGAAGACTAACCCTAGCGTTCTCAATGCTAAATTAGCCCGCCGTTATACGCCTCCAGAGCTCAAGAAGCTTCGTGGTTCCTGACGCAGAGCTTCTTCCAGTTACCCTACACATCAGCTCAAAAAGTCTTGGGCAAACCTCTCGATCTGAGCGCTCTCAGCGTAAGAGAAACTCACCGAACAATACAAATGCTCACTTCTTCTTCCTTCTAAAGCTTCTTACAACTCTTCTGAAACCAAACCTTTTCTATGCCGCAATTCTCTTTAGCATCATCTTGAAGCCCACTCTACGAACGCAAGGACCAAGCGGGTCACGTGACGACGCAAGCTACCGTGGTGATCGCAAACAAACCATCTTCAGACCGCGATCTTTCATTCATTCAAGCAACGCGACCCACGAGACTTAAAAATGCGCTCATTTACGCCCAACGAAAAGGATGGGCGTGGGAGCAGACGAGCCTCTGTCAATGCCAGATTCCGAGCCAGCACGTCTGCTATGGACAGACCTCAGACATCACTACGACCGTCCAGGGTAAGTCAACACAAAACAAAACAAACATTCCCGAGCTCCAACACTGTTTCTGACCGCGAACCTTGGCTGCAGATTTCCAATTTCCGCTCGAGCACACGACCGACATACGATCTACTAACAGGGGCCGATTCAAATATTCCTCGGCCTCAATCTCGACAAAGTCACGTCGCTGAGTCTGTCCGCCCCGGTTCGCGCGAAAGTCATAAGGAGAACATGGCGCCCCCCGACGCGGACGAGTACGAGAAGTACAGGCGAGAGATTGAGTCATTGAAAGCTGAGATTGGCACTCTACAATATCGAATTCAGACTGCCGAGCAGGAGAAAGAGATTGCGACATCGGAACAAAGTAGCAAATTGGAGCAAGCTCGACGGCGCGAGCAAGATGAAGCGCAACACCGACAAGCGGCTGAGGCCGAACGCGAAAAGGCGGCAGCGCAAACCGAAGCTCTTCGAAGAGAATTGCAAGAAGTCAAAGATTCGATTGATGGAGATAAGAAACAACTAGAGCGCAAGGTTCGTGAAGCAGAGGATGAGGCCCGCTTGCTGCAGGAACAGCTTGAGGATCTATCCACAGCGAAGGACGATGCTGCCCGAATTGCCGACCGAAAAGCCACAGACATGGAGATGCAGATCGCCGCGGCGCAAAAGACTATCCAAGAATTTGAGCAGGAGAGCGAGCAGCGGGAGAATGTGCTGCAGCAGACACAAGCTCAATTGGCTGAGAAGGATGGAGTTATTGCGAATCTTGAGGCCGATGTCCTACGACTCAAGGCGCAAAGCGGAGATGCCGAGACCATGGAGATCATCCGACAGGAACTTACCGAACAAGTTCAGCATATCCGAAAACTCGAGGCGACGAATCGTGATCAGCTCTCCGAGCTCAAGCATCTACGAGCATTGAGCAAGGCAGTCGAAGTTGTCGAAGAAGAGAAACGAACACTACAGCGAAAACTTGAGGCGGCCGAATTGGTTGAAGCAGAGCTTACCGAGGCGCGTATACAACGACAGCGGTTAGAGGATGAGCGCTTGGCCTGGTCGGCGTATCTGAGAAACGCTGCTGAGACGGACGAATCTGAGTTTGACTCCCCAGAGGCTGTGGTGAGGGCCCTCGTTGAGGAACGGCTGGCGAACGCCTCGTATGTCGAAAAGGTTGGCGCTTTACAGGCTGAAATCACTGCTGCTCAGAACACGATCCAATCGCTCCGTGACGAGCAGGCTCAACTCAAGAATGAGGTTGAGAATGCAAAGACTGTGGTCAATGCCAGCAACGCCGACAAGGCCCGAATGCGACTGGAGCGCCAACGTGCCCTGGCCGTCAAGGAGGTTGAGTACCTCCGTGCACAGCTCAAGACGTTTGACACCGAAGATGAGACGCTTCAACCTGAGCAATTCGACCAAGCCCGTGTACAGCGCGTGCAAGAGCTGGAGGATCTTGTCGACAAGTATAAGATGGAAGTCCAGAGCCTACACGCAGAGCTATCGTCAATCGAGCCCTCAGCACCAAGCACACCCCAGCCCGCGACAGGAAGCAAGCGATCAAGAGCGGAGGATGACAGTTCTCAAGAGCAACTCGGTCAACTCACGCGAAAGAAGCGTATGCTCGAGGAGCAACTGACCAAGTCGCAAAACAAGATTGCCTTGCTGGAGAAGGACTTGTCCACCAGCAAGGAACAACTAAAAGCTGCTAAGCAGCAAACACAAACACGCGTTCTATCACTCAAGTCAAATCCCACTTCAGATTTCGAAGCTATCAAGCGCTCCACCCTCGAAGCACTAAAGAAGGAGAATGAAGACCTCCTCGCAACCCTCCAGTCCAAGAACACCAACTCCTCCGTCCCCATGATCCCAACCTCCGTCCTCGCCGCAATGGAGCGCGAAATCACCGCCGCCAAAGCCGAGACCGCATCCGCCGAGAAGCGCACGCGCCGCCTAAAAGAAGTCTGGGGCTCCAAATCCCAAGAGTTCAAGGAAGCCATCTTCTCCACGCTCGGCTGGACCGTCACCTTCATCCCCAACGGGAAAATGCGCGTCGAGAGCACGTTCTACCCCTCGCAGACAGACGAGCACGAGAATTCCATCGTGTTTGATGGTGAGCGGGGCACGATGAAGGTTGGCGGTGGGCCGAGGAGTGATTTTGCACAGAAGATTAGCGATCAGATTGGGTTCTGGGTCAGGGAGAAGGGATGTATTCCTGGGTTTTTGGCGGCGCTGACGTTGGAGTTTTATGATGAGCATACGAAGACTTCGAAGTAGGGAGTGGAGAGGATGTGATGATAGTAAATACCCCTGTCCCTGTATATTTGTGTTTATAATGAAGTCAGTTGAGGATTGTATGTTGGAGGCATGGCGATGTGTTTGCACACACATCCTGGACTCAGGTACTTGAACGATATGGCTCCCTGATTGCTTTAAAATGTGATATAGAGCTCCTCAATCGACACCCTCCTTGGTCAAACTTGTCATTGGTGTTGAGAGTAGTGCATCACCGTATCTATGGCGACTTGGCCGATGGTTCAGGACCATAGAGGTTGGTGTTTAGAGAGGGATTTCCGGGTGGTTAGAATATGGGAGAGACGTGTTGAATAAAGAGGTATACGGGACTGTGACACCAGACTTCGACCTTAAGAAGCAAGATAACCTGCAATATCAGATTGGGATACTAGAATAAAGTGGTCTGAAGCTTTACTAAGAGATCTTAAGATTCCCCAAGTCTCTTCATCACTCAAGATAAGGTAGGTAACGTCCAAGTTTCTTGCCTGCCTTACGCTTGGCAGCTTACCTACCTTTCTTGGGCATGCACTCTATTGACTTGCAACTTCCTTCCATCAAGTGCCTTCCCCCATAACTTAGGTATACTTGGTAAGGTAAGGTAGGTACTTATAAAGGGCATCCCCAGAGCCAACTTGTACTCTCAAAACTTGTACTCTTCATCCATCCCATCATCCCATCATCATCATCATAATCATCATCGTCATCATAATCCATCAAGACTATACCGTATCATATCAAAACACCATGTGCGAGTCTAGCGATGAGGATATGTCACACGACGCCGACCCTTTCGGCACCGTACCTCCCCCCTCTGGATCTTCAGGATCTCCAGAACCCCAAGACTCCATCACCGCCAACCCTCTCCCACAGCCATTTTGGGAGGCTGGTCCTAGACCAGAACTTGGCAATCCTCAGAAACGCAAGGGTGCCACTGTGACAGGAGAACTTGAGAATAGTCCATCGACCAAACGTCTTCAGCCTGAGCAACAGTCTATTCCGACTCCTGTCAAGACACCCACAGGTACGGCTGCGCACCAACTCAGCAGTTCACCTCTTCAACGCCTATCATGGGACGGGTCAGAGCCTTCGGCCCCCGCAGAACGTCATGATTCAACTCCACCACAGTATTCGACTCCAACATTCGGGCCAGAGCAAGGGCCTTGGCCCATACCCGACCGGGTCGAACCCCTAAACACTCCAGCTTCACGGTAGAGCACTAGAGAGCAGGATCTGCCGCAGGAACTCGACCTCGAGGACAGCCAAGACGAGCAAGGAATTCCTGGTCCTTCACGTGAGACAGAAAACGTCTGGTTCCCTCAGGACCCCCACGAAAAACGTGGGAGAGACCTCCTCCTCCTTATGGAAAAGGTTCCCGAAAAGGATCGTGACCAGCTGATTCAGCTAATGCCAATCAAGCTCGAAAGACTAGAAAGGTGCTGGGCCAAGAATTTGTGCTTCTCCGACAGCATAAAAGTCAATGTGCTCGAAAGGGACCATAAGCGATTCTTGATAAAGATCAACTGGCCACAGGTTACTTCGGGCGAAGGAGCTGGCCGAACCGCAGAATTATACCATATCAAATGCTAGGATTCAATGATGACGATGGATATAACAGCACTCTTGTCAAAGAAGCTATTCCCAAAGATGGTTGGAGACTTCAACAAGGTTGGGCTCATGACGAGAGAGTGGCTCAAACACTCGGGCAATGTCAATCCGGACAAAATGTTCCAGATCCTGGAGGAAGAAATCAAGCCTACTAAGAAGACGGGAGATGATCTCGCTAAACTTTGGCGACTCACATGTGACCGAGAACCGCGGCATTTAACGACCAGTCCCTGTGCTCTTTCGCTGATTCTCGACATGGGAGACACTTATTTGTGAGAGTGATGGAGGGTCGTTTGATAGGAAGTAGTTGTTGCAGAATTATGTGGTTATTTGCAAGAAGACTTCGACTTACCAATCCATGTGATGAACTAGACTTGTTCAATGGCTGAAAGACAATAAACTCGACATGAGATACTAAGTTTTCTCATGTCCTCTCAATGGTTTGTAGACTAGATCCTAGCAGCGTGAGCATAAACTAAGAATTAGCAACTCTCACGCTGAGGAATATGATATCCAAAACGACCCAAATCACTCGATTATGCGCATCCTCTATAGTTACAGGTGTATTGCTATCAACAGCGTCCACAGCGCTTACAAAAGTCCCCCCTTTCCCGCTCCCTCTTCATCTTTGCCATTCTCTTTGCAGCTCTGTCTTTTTTCTTTTGCTTCTTCAGCTCTCTAGCCAGCATCATTCGAATCTCAGAGTCGTCAGAGCTCGTGGTGCTTGAATCGGTGTATACGCTGTCTTGTCTTTGTAAGGGGACTGTTTGGGGGAGGGGATGTGCTGGGAGTGGGCGATGGACTGGATTGTGAGGATGTGCTGGGGCTTGGGTGTGTGCCGCAAATTGACCATGCCCTGGTACCTGACCAAGGACCGGATGATGAGGATATGCTGGCGCTTGATTGAGTGTTGGGAGGTGACCATACCCTGGTGCCGGGCCTGAGACGGGAGCCTGGGGATGAGCTGGAGGCTGAGGGTGTACTGGACTTGGGTTATGAGGTGGTACTGGGTTGTATCCTTGAGGTACGGCTGGTGGTACAGAGGCATAGCGAAGCCCTGGAATCTGATCTGCTATAATGTTTTGTTGTGGCGCATGGCTCTGCTGATGAACTTGCGGCTGAACATACGGAATCCGTGATTCAGGAGATTCTGAAGCTCCCATGCCAAGCCCCCCGTTCCTTTGTTGCATAAACATTTCTTCCTGTTCTGCATGTCTTTGTTGTTCCTGGACTTCCGCCGCCCCCTGTTGCCCCAATCCTATCCTAACCTCATCTGTCTGCATAGCAATGACCGTCTGGATATTAACGCTAGCCTCACTAACCATATTGCTGACTTCCGCTCTCCTCACATTGATGACCTCGTCATAGTCTATTTCCTTCAGCTCGATGAGAAGTTCAGAGCTATGAATCAAGCTTGCCACGATTTTATTGACGACTTGCGCTTTAGCGAGGATTACTTTGAGTTTTTCTTTTGCGTTGGCGTCTTGGGGAATAGGGAGGTTTCTGGTGCTCATGTTGCGGAAGAATTCTAGTTGGATGTTGAGTGCGCGGTGGGCTTGGTCGGTTAGGAAGGGAAATGTCTCGATTAGTGAGTCCCAGAGGAAGTCAGCCTGTGACTGTGGGCCTGGGCCTGGGCTGGGGCTGTTCGGATCAATATCCATGTTGGAAGCTTTGTGAGTTTTGGGAATGTTGTAGAAGTGCGATGTTGCTGAGAGGTCCAGTTTCTTTCAGGTCATCTCGGTCCTGTTCAAATGCAGGAAAGACCTTGTGCAAAAGCCGTGGGCGGATCAGGCAGATATATCTAGATTTCAGAGACATTGATTCAGAAGTGTGAGCAAACATCATGCTGTGAACAGTTTGCTGTGTTTATGAACAAATGACACTTTCGTGCGAGGCGCGTGATGAGTTACGGTGGTCTATCATCCGCACAACAAAGAGACCGGATCAGAGTGAACGCAGCAAAATGGACAAACAGAGAACAGGCTCCCGGGAAATCGATAACACAGACAAGAGGATATCGTATGTCTTGATTAATTGCTTTACTGACTACAAGGTTTCACATATGGGGTCAAGATCGAAATCTCTTTGATAAATACTCTCATAGTAATAAACTCTAAACTCTAACTCTAAATCTATATGTATATGCATCAGGCGTTTCAAACTAGAACAAAGTATACCTCAATCGCTTCCACCAGGGAAACGTAGCAAGCTCTGTTCTCCAAGCATTGATGGCCACCCAATCATGTTCGCGGCGACCCGTATCAATGTCAATCTTCTCGATGCTGATCCAACTTGTCCTCTTCCAGAGATATCCTCCAGCCCAGAAAGCAAGCACAATAGGAAGTCCAAGATACTGCATAAAAAAGTCTTCAACAGTGCCCATTCCCGACTCGCCAACTGGGGCGACGATGGCCACGTAGAACTGAGAAACGTTAGCTAATATTTCAAAAAATGAACACTTGAGGCTTACCTGAGCAATGAGAATGACGACAACAAAGATCAAGCCCAACCATGATCCCCAAACGCCACCAATAGCCTTGAACGGGATTTCGTCGAGTGTATGGCCGTTATACTTCCACGCCGCTCTAAATCGAATATGCGCAAGGCAAATCGATCCCCAACAAACAAGCATAGCTAATCCCGACAAAGCCAAAAGCCAGTCGAAAATAACAGGACCAGCTGCATCAAGGTTCAAAAACGCAAGACATCCAAAAGCTATGATGAATCCAACAGATGGTAAAGGTCGACCCGCTCGATCAACCCAAGTAAAGATCTTGGGCGCAAAACCCTGCTGTGCGAGCGCGAGAAGTGTGCGTGATCCACCGTATACAGAGGCGATGCCGAGTGATAAGACTGATGAGAGGATAACGGCGTTCATGTAGTGATCGAGACCCTTGAGACCGGAATATCTTCCAACAAGGACGAATGGCGAGGCTGCGCTGTTGGAGTAAGAGCCCGAGCTGAGAAGATTCGGATCATTGCAGCTGATCAACAATTCAACGAACAACAGCGCAACAATGTAGAACAAGCAGATTCTCCAAAACACCTGCTTGATAGCCGCAGGAACTGAAGCAGTAGGATTTCGAGACTCAGCAGCTGCCAAACCCACAAGTTCCGAACCAGCAAACGAAAACGCCGCTGTTACGAAAACAGAGCAAAATCCCTTGAATCCGTTCTTGAAAGCCCCAGGATCATGCCACAGCTTAAAACCCTGATACGTATCGTAGCTCCCACTAGACGGACCCCCACCACAAACCAACACCAGCGCGATTATCATAAAGATAGAAATCGACGTAAGCTTGAAGCACGCAGCCCAGAATTCCTCCTCAGCGTACCCTAGCGTGCCGAACATGTTGAGGATGGTGATAGCAGCGAGAAACACGGCGATCCAGACTCCGGGGGAAATGTCAGGGGACCAGTACTGGATCGTAATAGCGCAGACTGTAAGTTCGAGAGGAAGTGTAGCAGCCCATTGAAGAGTGTAATTCCACGCCATGGCGAAGCCAAAAGATGGGTCGATGAAACGCGCTGCATATGTGTAGAAACCACCAGAGATGGGATACATGACAGCTAGTTCACCCATTGCGTAGACAACGTTGAAAACCATGACTCCAACGAGGAAGAAGTCGATGAACAACGTAGCAGGGCCCTGTAACCATTAGTCAATATTCAATTGAGTGAGTGGCCCACTTACACCTTTACTCAACGCCGACCCAGATCCAACAAAGAACCCAGCACCGATCGATCCTCCAATAGCAACCATCTGAAGATGTCTCGGCTTCATCTTGCGATCCAATTCCACAAGCCCAAGTCCATAATGCTTTCTCGTAAACGATTTAGCATTCAGCCCCGTCCTCGTCATGAAATCATCCTGCTCGTATTCTTCACCCGTTGCAGTGAAGCTTTCCTTCGTAGGAGCGTTTTCATCAGCCATGACGCCTTTTTCTCCAACGATAGGAGAATCAGATATGACTTTTTCAACAGCCATGATCAACGAGATCTAAGGAATTACCTAAAAGAAAGAAGAGAGTGAGGAAGAGTGAAGAAAAAAAGTTCTTGCTAAATGGCCCCATTATAAAAAAGATGAGAGGGCCCATAGTAACAACGCTATTAGGCCCACACATGACATGGTCATGACTCTGGAAGCAAAATTTTCAATTAATCGTAGTAGGACTCTCCACGATCTGAGGGGGAGTTTTGGTTACTACTCCAGATATTGAATTGGTTATTTACGTAAATCTCCATGGGGAAGTGTTTGTATTGATAATGAGGGTATTGACTCCAAGAGACTGGAGGTTTGGCGACTCCACATTGAAAAGTGGGAGAAAATCATATACAATACTGTGATACAGACCGTCGAATATATCGAGATAAGTAAAGAGGATATACTATGTGTGCAGTGTCTACCGAAGGCATCTTGATTCACCCGAGACAGAGATTTTACCGTCATTCGATGAGTCAAGTCGCGTGGTTCGACCAATTCGCCACTGTCTAATACCGAGGTCAACCTCTTACAGAAACAGTCTCGATATCGAGATTTTCGTTTATCAAAAGCCTCACGCAACTTGACAGAAGAACTGATTCGACGATCAATCAAGATCTAATCTTATTACGTTACTCACAAGTCTAATAAGTCCACTCTGTAAATCTTCAAGTCAGAAATATCCCTGTCTCTATAACGTAAAAAAGTTGCGGCTCAGCGGATCGTGGTGGAGACGTGATCGGAGCCGATGGACGGTTAGTTATTCCCGAGTTGCCTCCGTTACCCGCCTGGGGAGGATTGCTACCTGTTTTGAGATGAACGGGATAGATCAGCGACGATAAGGTGGGAGGCAATAAAGGAGCCGAGGAGGGGAAAAAAAGGCAGGACCTTCACCCAAGGCGATAAATTTAGTGAGATATCTAGCCTGAGCATAGGGAGCTCTTTGCGAAGTTTACTGGCATTCTCTTTTCAAGCCTCGAGTTTTCTTGCTCTCCAAGCAGGAGGTATATATGATTGACTCGTCAGTGGATTATTATAGAAAGGGTCTCTATCGCAGAACGTCGCTAGTTCTTATTCCTCTGCATTGCGGCGTTGCTGGCAAGACGATATGTGCTGTCGAGTTGAGGGAGATAGCGCGGAGCAGATGGTAGGCCCCGAACCCCGTCAACTCCCTAAAGGTGCTGAATGACCTACAAAAGACAGATTGAAAGGAAGACCTATCCGCGTTATGCCCATAGCCAAAAGAAGCTGGTCATTTCGCATGCTCCAAGAATTAGTCACTACGCTCTTCTATTACATCTGCCGGACCATGAAGGTCAATCTCTTATCCACCAAATAAAAAGCCCTTGATTAAAAGGCTGACTCGACTGGGCAGGCAACCTTGTCTTCCTCGCCCCTAAAGTCACTGTAATCCATGAATCCTATGGAAACTTGGCGATGTCCCATTTGTGTAAAGGAATTGTGGTGGCCGGGTCGGCGGGTATCGAAAGCTTTTCCGGATGCACTCTGACATCTTCATACCAGAAGGGTGATTGGCCGGCTGTCATATACGGTGATGTCACAGCTTTCATAACCTGGGATGTTTAGAAAGTATCCAGGCATAATAGGATCGTGAAGGCTCAGTATAAGGCGTGGCTGGTTCAGCAGAAGGGATATTGGGTAATAAGTCTGGTTGGGCCAGCTTCCAGGACGCAAGATATCAAGTCGAGGGTCTTGACAAGAAAGGCGCTGGCGACGGGATGACCGTCTGCGAGAGTCTGCTCTGGATTCTGGGGAGGATGGTCGTAATCTATCCAATCATGTGTTCAACTCTAGACGGCGGATGCTATCACTTACTTATATAGAGTTGGAACGTCTGACTCTATGGGGTGGTGTGTTGCTTGTGGAAGCTGAAGCCTTTAGATGATGAGTCTGAGCTTTGCACTATGGAGGTGGTATTTCTATTATGATACAGATCAAGGTAGAGCTTCCGTGGCGTGGTCAATGCAGGTGCCCTGCAACAAAGGGGAACGGGACCATAAACTATACATTCAGACCAAGCAAGAGGACAAACGGGCCTATCAAGAAACTGCCGAGTTCAGTTCTTTGACTCTTCTTAAGATGTATGTATATACGATGTAGGGGATTGGAGAGAAAGAACGTGGAGTTGGTTATCCTGCTTATGCTGGTATAATATTCCTAACATGCATGAACTCAACTTCCTAAATAATTTCCAGGCCATTCTTAACTTAGATGTATGTCTTCGAGGGACGATTCCGATTGGAGCGCGTCCCTCAATCACAGCAAGCGAGTACACATGGCCTGATGAGTGGTATAGCCTAGTATCGCGAGTCATGACCTCTAGTGGACGGGGATATTCGGATCATCGACCAACTCCCCAAGCGAGAATCCGCGGAACCGGTCACATATCAGTACCTATATGTAAAACCTTATTTCGACCGCTAGTATTTAAACTTGCGAGTAATATGGGGCATTCTGCGAATAGACGAGTGTAGAGTTTTCGGCAGTTGTAGAAGTAGTTCGACCCCTGATTCGCCAAGAAACTAAACTCCGTTTTACCAATCATAAACGTATGAAACTATGTGTGATTATAGGAAACTGAGTCTTGGCGATGTTTCTTGGCATCACTGTGAAAGATTGAGGGACTAGGAGGACCTCGTATTCTGATCATGAGCTTATGGAGTCCTAGCAGGCCAGGAGTAATTACGGTGGCCGAGAATTACTGGAGATGATAAGATCGATGATCTATGGAGTTGAGCACTAAGAAGAGGAATCATTGAGCTCTGATTTTGGGTATAAATATGTGTCGAGGTCTCGTCAAGTAAGAACCATCACTCTCACTGCTGAATATCACAATCATCAAGCCACCGCCTTCTAAACCTACAAACAAGGTACATACCCGATCCACAGAGCCTCAGCAAAGCCTAACCTCTCCAGAACGCAATCTTCTCCATCAAAATGAAGGTCTCAATCCTCGGTCTTCTCACCCTCTCAGCATTCGCTTCCGCGTGCGCTAGGTACGAAAGCTGCCACTGCTACGACAGCAACGGCATTCCCAACAACGGCGCCACCCAGGCCGTGTGCGACCACTACAAGGGCGGAATGGAGCCCAACACGCGGGAATACGGCGCGAATACTCAGTATAAGCAGTGCAACGTCAAGACCTTTGGTGGTGGGGCATCGAGCTTTGATAACTGTGACTGGAGGCGGAGATGCCAGGGTGCTGGTGCGACTGGTGCTGATTCTTCTTGCTGGAATAAGTTCCCTTAGGTGTATTATTAGAGAGTCCGAGAGGGAAGCTTGAGTCGTTGTATGGAGTTCCAATGTTTGGTTTAAGCTCGGCAGACTGTAAGCGGGTTCTGCTCTTGTACTTAAGATTTATGACCACAGGTATGAAGATGTTTTTACGAAGCTGGGTATCATAGTATAGAGTGTTCTGATGTAACCCTGATATCTTGTGTGCATAGATCTAGTGAGGTGAAATAATGGTGAGATGCCAAAGCCTTAGCATGTGGGATTGATCAGTAAACACACCGGCGTATACTGCGGCTTTGATTAGTAATTATCTAGTAGGGTATCAGACAATTATCTCGCAATCCCCCGAGGAGGCTTGCTGAGGTCACTCAATCTGACAACGAACGAGAGATCTATACCGCGATCGATGAGACTTACCTTGTGATTTTTAGCATGCGGAGATAATGGTATGCATATGAGACACGGCACGCGCAGTGACAAGATAAGGGCTTAGCATGATAAAATCGATACATCCTGCACATCGACTGAGCTGCATATGTGTAGAGGTTTAGTCAAAAGTCTGAACACCAGATAAGAATACATCCAAGCCAAGATTGGTACGCACATTATTTTATACACCGACTAGCAACGAGCGTCACTCCCATAGCTGACTGATCCATCTCGAAACCCTCCGTCTCGACACCGTAGGGCCCACGCTAAAGATGTTAGATAAACTTTCCGCCACCAGCCGATCAGCTGCAAAATAGCTCCAAATTAAGACGTCATAACTAAATGCCTCAACAATTCAATCAATCGTCACGTCAATTGGTCTCCCTAGCAATTCAGCTGCGGGGAACTCGCTGATGCTGCTCAGCAAATCTGACCACGTACGGACGCCACAATAATCAGAAGAGGAAAATGATTCGTCTAGCTTTTGAAAAATGTCTCTCAATCCAAGGCAACGGAGACGCGGAATATGCACGACTAGCCAAGCGCCGATTGAGCCAATCAGACTATGACGCGTCCTGACGTGAGGGGAACATTGGCACAGTATATAATGCCTGTAACCCTCGAGGTTCTCAGACCCTTGAAAGTCCCATATTCAGAAAACTTTATTGAAAATATCTCAAAATGACAGTCCACGAAGTCAAGAAGTAGGTTATATAATCTCTCTATCGTCGCAAGTCAAGCTAAACCTTGTACAGCCTCGCCGAGTTCAGGGATACCCTTGAGAAAAACACAGTCGTCCTCGCAGACTTCTGGGCCCCATGGTGCGGACCATGCCGATTCATCAGCCCCGTCTTAGAAAAGTAAGTCCCGCCATAAAAGTGCATATGTACAACTTGGCTTACTCCTTGTTACCAGGATGTCAGAAGCAACCGAGTCTATCCACTTTATCAAGGTCAACGTCGACGAGGCTGAGGATGTGTCTCAGGAGTATGGCATCCGAGCGATGCCTACCTTTATCCTCTTCAAGGACGGTGATAAGGCTGATGAGGTTGTGGGGGCGGACCCTAACAAGTTGGAGAAGCTTGTTGAAGAGTACAAGAGCTAGATGTCCACTGGGAATTCGATCCTGGGCAGATCGGCATGTTTATGCCTAGACTTGTGTGGATATTGGAGAGTTTGTACCTCAGTAACACAAAGGTCCTGTGCTTCCTGAAATTTTATTCCCCTATTCATTTTAGTCTTGGTGAAGTCATTCCAAACACGGATCCACATGTGCGAAGGGATCAAATGCCGACAACTCTGGTGATGCTCGGTCTCTTGTACTACCACACTGAGCACTCAGGATAGTCGTCAATATCTGCCGAGGTGTTGCAATCGTGGATCAAACGGGACTCTATATAAGCTGTGGCATAGCAATGACGTGTCTCTGCAAGACCAGAGGTTTCACAAGTCGCCCGCTTCATACTATATAACCGCCTGTGATCCATCTTCTGAAACCCCACCAAGCTGATCGAAAAAGTCATCTAAAGAGTTCTGCTATCAAGACTCTGATTGCATTTATTATTTGGATAGTCAAGATGGTCGTGCACGAGATTCATTCGTGAGTACAACACTCATCTTCCCTTGTAGCCACATTTACTAACACAACCCCAGCCAGGAAGAGTTCAAAGAAGTTCTCGAAAACCACTCACTGGTCTTTGTTGAGTTCTGGGCTACCTGGGTCGGCCCCTGCCGTGTCATCAAACCCTTAATCGACAGGTAAGCTAACCTTTCCTTCGAGTATACTCTTACTTACATGCTGCAACAGACTATCAAAGAATGCCGAGAACGAACACGTTTTCTTTTGTTCGGTCGATATAGACAAAGTGTCCGAAGTCTCTGAAGATCAGGGCATTAGAGTAACTCCCACATTGATGGTTTTCGAGGACGGGGTCAAGCAGCATGAGGTTATCGGGGCGAATCCTCCGGCTATTCATGCGATGCTGCAGAAGGTTTCTAAGAAGGAGTCGGAGACTTGAGTGGCTTCGTCTACGCAGTAAGGACATGATGGAGGAAAAGTGACCTTTGGGATTCCTTTGATTGGGCTGTAGGACGATTAGCTACTCATCCGTTATGACTAGGTTCTCTCTGCCGGAACAAGCTCTCAGCCACAAGTCTCAACTGCAAATCACAGAAAACAGCTTGCACTTGCCTGTTGGCCCGAATAATGGCCTTATCCGTTGAGTTCTCCTTGCCATGGTGCAGGACAGATTTCAGTTGATGTACCGTTGGTGAGCATGCCTATTTACACTACAGGTTTGGAGCTTCTCCGGCCATATAGATATACAGTGTTTGCAATACCAAGACTACCCCTATTACTGGTCTCTCTCCGTGACCCTCAGTACCAGCCTTTCGTCGTGGAACACCATATAGCTCTCCGACTTCATCGCCACTTCAGGCTCAACGAGCTGAAAATCGAAAACCCGAAGAAGCTAGCAACATGTCAGTAAACTCTAACCACAGCAGAAATTCGGACACATACCTCAAAGATAACTTTGTTCAGCTCCATAAACGCAATAGGCTTTCCAGCGCACATCCACCGCCCATACCCAAAGACAATCTCAACATCCCGCTTCATCTGAGTGCTCGTCTCTTTATCGACTTCAAGGTATCTCTCGGGTCGGAAGACCTGAGGATCAGGGCCGAAGAGTGCTTCGGATCTCAACAAGGAAGAAGTATTGATGCCGACTGATGTGCCAGGTGGGATATACTGTCCATGCATCGTCTCTCCGCCGGCTGGGACATCTTTAAAGAACATGCCTGTTGTAGCAGGTCGAATTCGGATACCCTCGTAGATTACTCCCTTTGAACAATATTAGCATGCTCACACAAATAAAGTTGGGGCCAAGGGTGGACTCACCTGAAGATAAGGTAATTGTCGAGACTCGACATCTGTGATTGGGCTCGAAGCTCGACCTTCGGATATTGCTTCCACCATCTCTTGTCTAAGGCGCTGATATATGTGAGGCGAAGCAATAACGTAGAGAAGAATAACCCGTATCACAGAGGCAGTAGTCTCCGATCCTGCTAAAAACATGAACAGAGATTCAGCCTGACACTCCTCCAGTTTCAAACCATGTCTCTTGAACGAGCCCTTTGACAATTTAGCATATAATTTCCGCACATCTAAGTAATGACTCACCAGCATATCACGCTGATCGTCGGCTTCAGGAGCATATCGCTCGCGAACAATGGTATTCGCGACTTTCATTAGCGGGCCAATCCCCTTGGTGTCATTCTCAGTCGGCCCAAACAGCTTCAGAAACATTGGCGAGAAGATTAAATTTCTCAGCCATGGAATATCTGTCGCAAGCGTCATGATCAATAAATGCTCACTGAGCGCTTTGACGATCCCGTGAAAATCAGAGTCAGCCTTGAGATACCCGAATTCTTGACCAAGGGATAGATTCGATATAACATCTAGTGTAAAAAGATGTGATACTCTGGTTCCCTCCATCGGACGATAATCTCCTTGGGTAGAGATGTATTTCTCCTTGATTAGCTGGATCAAATTACCGACCTGTCTGTTGACTACAGCTTCAAGATTGGGAGCATCGCGTCCGCTGTATGCGGGAGATAGCTTCGACTTGAGGCGATCATGCGGGACTGGGTCTGTTATCTGGAACATGGGGTCGTGATAAGGATTGAATTTGCCGCCGAGATACCAGTTTCCTTTGGTATATGTATTCTTAGTACTTGAGACTTTTCGGATCAAGTCTGGGTCATCGACCAGGATCTCGTTTGGACCGACTCTGACCATGGGTCCGTAGCGTCGATTGAGGTTGACCAAGTGATCATGCTGTGTTCCGGTGATGGTGATGTAAGCTACCCATAGATATGAGAATTTGCCGGCAAAAGGACCCGGGATATGTCGAAGACGATACCAAGAGAAAATAGAAGAGATAATAAACCAGGTAAAGAGAGCTACAATAAAGTACGGTAGCCATGCAAGGCCCCTTTCAAAGAATGGTGAAGCCATACTGATCTGCTCAAGGTCTAAGCAACAACAACAAACAAACAGAACTGGTCGGGATTATATAAAAAAAACTTCATCTCAATACCATCTTGCTTTTGCTATCGGGCATATGAGATGGCTGTCTTGGCCATCCTAGCTGAAAAAGAAATAGACTTGATTGGTAAATTTACGACGACTGTGTAACCCCAATCAAGACATGCAGCAAGATTACGTGGTTTTCCTTGGTTTAAAGACCTCAAACAAGCCACGAGACATGTGAGATGATATCAATGCCTTGGAAAAAGGAAATTTCCAGATACGGCGTTTGTTTGTCCTCAATAATTGGTGGACGATAGTGAGGCTTGCTCAAGTGCATCGCCGGGTTACCTAACATGGAGGACTTGATCAACCAATCAGAATAGCTCGGATGGACCTTGAGATCTATCGCACGTCATCAGAGATTTTGACGACTCAATAACGATCACTTCCTTTTCAAGAAGGTTGTTTTGCATAACCGAGTTGTTTCCATAATTTATGCAACATTATCATCGTACAGCCGGAGCACATCATATCTGAACTTCGGGCTCAAGAAGAACGTCCGGCAAAGGCGGGGTTGATACGACGTTGAGATATCGAGACATATAAATTCAACATGTCCGACGGTCACTATGGCTCTCGAAGTGAGAGTGAAAAACACAAAGTGCCTAATATGAACGTCGCAAACTCCAATGTCGTCGTGGTCGGTGGCGGTATCGTGGGTGCCTCTATCGCTTGGCATCTCTCCTCCGAGACGAACGTGACTATTATCGCGGAAGATATCGGAGGAGTAGCTACTCCCAACTCATTCGCTTGGCTTAATGCTGCTTCGTCGGATAAGAAGTTCTACTACGAATTTAGACTCCAGTCTCTCGAGCACTGGAGGGAGATTGAGAAAGCTGTCGAGAACTTACCTATTCATTGGGGAGGTACCACGAGCTGGGATAAATCGCCCGAAGAGCTTGAAGAGGAGCAAAAGAACCTTACTGCCTGGGGGTATGATGTTATTCGCGTTGATAAGACCGAGATATCGAAGCGGGAGCCTCATATTGAAGAGACGAAGCTTCCGGAATGGGGTCTTGGTTATGATCAGGAGGGAGCTCTGGAACCTGAAAAGGCGGCTGAGCTATTGATTAACCTCGCGAAAGACAACAGCGCCAAGGTTCTCGAGACCAAAGTCACAGGATTCACCAAGACAGGCGGCCATATCAGCAGTGTTACTCTCTCATCCGGCGAAACCATTCCAGCAGACCATGTTGTCGTAGCCGCAGGTCTAGGAAGCGTCTCCCTCCTCGCCTCCCAAAATATCCCCCTCCCCCTCAAAAGCACAGCCGGTCTTCTCGTCAACACAAAACCCACCTCTAAAAAGCTAATCAACGGTGTGATCAACGCTCCCGAACTACACATCCGTCAAACCCTCAACGGAGCCCTACTGTTTGGTTCAAGCTACGCCGGCGGAGATCTAGGCGATGATCCAGAAAAGACGGCACGTGAACTCTTCACCAAGCTTCAAAAGTCAGTTGTTGGGGGAGATGAGCTTGAGTTCAGTCACTACACTATTGGCCATCGAGTATTGCCAGAAGATGGACTGCCGATTCTTGGAGAGACGGGATTGGATGGACTCAGTGTTGCTGTGATGCATTCTGGTGTTACGAATGGAGCTCTTGTTGGGAAGTTGTTGAGCAGGCAAATACTCACTGGGGAGACTGATCCTATACTGGAGAGTTTCCGACTAGATCGTTTTGCATGAAGTCTTGTCGCAGAAGTTGCATTATCTTGAAAGATGACGGTCATACTTTGGAGTGTCCTTCCATTGTTGTTTCAGTTGTATCCTCTACTTCTTAGTCTTGACGCGACCTGAATCCATATTAGCAGTTCTTTCTCTCTACTGTAGCCATAAATCCACGTCAAGTATTGCCTTCCTTTAGATCGGCTGGGATCTTTCCAGCTCTGCAAAAAGAGAAGGTTCTGGCTGCACCAAGAGCAAGGCCTCCAGGAATTAAAAAATACCAGATCTTGATACAAGGTATTAAAATAAACCTAAGTAAACGGTATCCTGAACTTATTTCATCTTTTTATTATTTAGGATCAAGATGCCAAGTTTTATTTTCTCCTCTGGCCAGGATCGTGGCCTCTAATAATGAAGATTGCTCCTTCTCACCGAAGCACCACACCAACCTCTCCCCTTCTTATTTCAGTTGTAATGGTTTGACAAACTTCACTCTTCTTCTTCTTCATCATCTTCACTCTTCTTCTTCTTCATCATCATCACTCTTCTTCATCATCATCACTCTTCTTCTTCTTCATCATCACTCTTCTTCTTCTTCTTCATCATCACTCACTCTTCATCATCATCATCACCACTACACGCGCTTCCATCATGTCCATCATGGCTCAGTCTATGTAAGTTATCGAACCACTCGAGAGCTTCCTGCTGACAGAACCTCTGCATGAAGACAAAACTGGGTCCCACCATATGTTAACGACCGTCATATCAAACTGCGCATTGAACATTGGTTTGACAGCAATATTCCATCCCCAGGAGATACCTTGTTCGTCGAGGTTCTGCATACCTTTCCTGGCACTACATCGCCTGTGAAGGTCGTCGAATTCAACAATCAGGGAATCACTGAAAGAGCAGTGCTGAAGCTTTACGACCGGACTCACCCTGGGCGTCTTCGCAAGTTCGCAGCCCCTTCGTTGCTAGTAGAGAGGGAATATCGGTCATGGGTGCGTCAAGGGAGCATGCGCGACTTTATTCCAACGTTGGAGCAAGCCTAGAAGACTTATGACCCTCAAGACGCGATTGATTACGCCTCTTACAACCGTGAGAATGTCGATATCCCGTATAGTGTCCCTGAAAGATTCGAAGCGGGTGTCTGGTACGAGTTTGACCGGCGCCGCAAGACCGAGTCAACGGCATACGCGCAGCTCCAAAGTATACAGGGCACAAAGATACCACGTCTTTACGCAAATGTAGGAATTCCATTATCCTTTATCGACAAAGAGTACAAGGCAACCCCCGAAGAGGAAGAGTTCCTCTATGTTCCTGGCATTCTTCTGCAATACTACGATTGCCGAAAACTCAGTGAACTCTACCTTCCCGGAATGGCCCACGCCGAATGGGCTGGCCTGGCTCAACGAACCGTCAATGCGATTGATGACATAAACAGATTCGGCATTGTTTTCAGCAACTACAATAACAATGCTATATTCAGGAGAGAGAACGACGAGCCATATATCATCGATTTCGCTGAGGCTCTGTTCACAAAGGATTTGATCGAGGCTTGGATCAAGGGACTTCGTCAAAGAAGGGGCTCAGAGGTGGCAGATTACCCCCCTTGGCGGATGGATGTCGGATATTGGGAAATGGTGAAGGTTTACAGGAACCCTCAATCATTTGCTGAAGCCTTCTTTACTCAATTGTCGGGATGTACACTTCCTGATTATCCGACGATTATTGCGGAAACCACGGTGAGGGCGCTGGGCGAGGGATCTTAAAACATTCAGACTCGGGGCGAATGAGAGGATGAAGTTGTGTCGAGTATGAAAGCAGGTGTTGAAGCCTTCAAGGCTCTGAAGGCACTTACCTGATGTACAGGGTGCGATCCCCTTTACAGTCACAGTCAGTAGACGTATTTCTTTCAACAAGGGTATTGCGGACAACCATTGTTTGTCGAATAGATTATTATCTTTTTAATTTCCGCTGTAGTCTACGAAGCCTGCTGACAGCCCATCCAGACTAATCATGTAGCCGAACCGGTTTGGCTGCCTAAGAACAAGTGGCGGCATGTCTTTGTTATTCTCAATCCTCACAAACTGATCCTGTTCCCTGCCCCAGAGGTCTTTCCCTTCTCTGACTGCAGCAGTGATCCTATCTTTATCTCTATATTCTTCACGATTCATCCAGCGATGAGAAAAGCTCGCCATCTTGTTGAGAAATTGATCCATAGTCGGAAAACAGCTGCTGCAATGCCATCCTGCGTTACTCAGCACGCCCCTCTCGAGGAACCGTAACAGACGGAAGCCTCCATCTCCATTGCGCAGATTGGTGGGCTTGAGGGTTCGGTGTCCTTGGTAGTAGGTCGCTTGGGGGTGTTGCCACTCTGGACCGGTGTGGAGGAATTGGAATGAGTAGTAGTAGAATTTGGAGGAGAGTGTGAGGCGGCGGGGGAAGTTGCAGTATCGTAGGACGAGGAGGGTTTGTGGTCGGGGTATTTCATCGACGTCGGCTACGATGAGAACGTCTCTTTTGTTGGGTGCTCTTGGTCCGTCGAGGCCGAGCATGACTTGGTCGAAGGGGGCATCTCGTTGTAGGTCTTCGTAGTCCCAGGCACGATGCGGGTCAAAGGTTGATGGGAAAGTTAGTTCGTGATATATTATTTTGTCATGATAGCGACGGAATCTTCCCCAGTTCTCTTTGAGGATAAGGGGTTTGGAATTTGCCTGGAATGTTTTTGCTGACTCGACGATGATGAAGTAGTCGACGTAATCGTATAATGCATCGAGGCGTATCTCGAGAAAATCCAGCTCGTCGTTTATCATGAGCATATCGTAGGTCTTCCGTTCGCTTGGGGGGCTTTTGGGTATGAAGGCTGAGTAGCCATGGACGGAGCAGAGATCATGCGCAGCCCTGGAGGCATACAGCTCTGAAGCCTTCCGGTCATGATTTGAGCTCGGGTTCAGAAGATCGATCGGCTGTAGCGACTCGGTAAATATTGCATGAGAGCCGCGAAGAGGTCGGAGAGCCCACCAAAGCAAGGAACAAACGCCAATGACCAGAATGCCTCTAGACAAAGCCTTCGGTACCATATTGACCTGACTTGAATTGCCTAGGACAAAGTGTGACCGGAGCAAATTGGGACTGACATGCCCTTTTGCTGTTACCTAATCTGACCAAGGACTGTTGGTCGCACATGGAAGTCGGCATCGATGGTTATATGTGATATCCTGCAGCCAACAACATCTAATTACTGTGATACGAGCAGGGCATTATTGTCTTGAGGGAGTTTTAATTGGTGGGCCGAGCCAGTTTAGTAGAAGTGTAGCATTACAGGCTTACAGCAAACCACCCATAAGATTATTCACTGTAAACTTTAAGCTATAAACTCCTGCGATAATAGTGCTTTTCTAAAGCATCCTTACAAAGAGTTATACTCGTACGGGCCATAGGTAAGCTAAACAGCGACAGGGTTGATATCCCTGCTAATATACATACGTACAACCGGCTCAGTCCGGATTATGCATAACAAAAGGTCCTGCACCGGTGCAATCGGCGATCGGCCGTCTTGTAAAGTTCCTGTGTCAGAAACCCTTGGGGTACTTTGCCCTGTGCTTCAACACCAGCAGCCGGGCCTCACTTGATTGTCTGACTGAGTCCTCATACAGGGTGTCATAACTAGAAGTCATGATTCGCGATACAGGTCTGTGCCACAATTCCTCGCCACTCAACTTCATCCTCTCTAGGGGAGGAAATAAAACTTGGGACCTTGAACCTAGGTAACTAATAAAAAGACTTGGGCAACTTGGTACAAATTTAGAGTGAGTTTATGATACCTTTTATAGAGTTTATCTTATCACCCTAAACTGAAGTCTCGTGTTTCCTTGATCCCAGAGGCCTCTCAATCACCTAAAGTACGGATGCTTTGCTAATTAAACCCACCAGCCCTGCAGCTGCTGCCTGCATTCGTTCACCATGGCCTGATAATCATAAACCCGCATGAACCCTAACTCGTCTGCGTCTATGTTTATGTCTCTCTCATGATCTCCTCAAGGTCCCCGGCGAAGCTCTCGTTGAACTCGTTCGCCTTTTCCTCATACGCGTGTTTCAGACGGGCGGAGAGGTATTCTGTGGCCAACAAGTCTCTTGTGGGAAGTCCCGTAATCACAATCTCGTACAAGTCGTCACGCAATACAGCCTTGGCGAAATCGACAATGAAGGGTTTTTGACTGTCGAGTGGAAGAATTTGGTCATTAGTGTCCTTGTTCTTCATTATGACGTTATTGTTGTTTTTTTCGACAACAACGCCCAATTTATTGATATCATTGATCGAATCGATGGCGCTTTGTATCGCTGCCTTTAGAGTGTCTGGGGAAAAGCTGGGTTTAGGCCACCGTCCGAGCTTGGGGCCAGGAATGTATTCTAAAAGGAGGCCATGAACACAAAAGAATTCGTCCCATTGTTCGTCGCCGTTTTCTTGAGGACGCTTGTAAATGATAGGATATGGGATTCGGATGTGTGCGAGGAGGCGCGGTATCTTATCGCCTTGAAAGGGTTTGAGCTGTTTGTATGCCTTTAACTCGGTCTTAAAGCGCTTATTATTTTCGTACCAGGCAGCGGCTTCAAATCTTGCCACGCGGTCAGCCTCGGGGCCGCCATAACGTTGGGTGTCAAGGAACTCGCTTGCACGGGGTCTGACGGGCGCGGTTTTGTAGATATGTTCCAAGGCGGAGCGAAAAACGGTCATTTTCCCTTGACGCACGAATGAAAGATAGGCATTATCTGCTTCGCGCGGAGCGGCTGTGGTTGTGCCGTTGACTTCACGAATGCTTCTAGCGTAACGCCGGTCATAAAGCTTCAGAACTCCTTGTCCCCCCAGGAGTCCTACACCGTTGTAGAAGATGACGTGCATCACATGCGATTCGGTGCTAGGCAAGTCCTCTAGAAGAGAAATTACGATGAATTTCCTGTTGGGACTAAATGTATGGTTGAAACCTTCCACCAAATGTACTTTTGGTTCATTGCCGGCCACGTACGGAAAGGGGGCTATTCTTCGATCTGTTAGCGGGAAACTACTAGGTGATTCGATAACTTACGTAGTCGGAGCCATGATTGAATTATGATGTTGAGGCTGAGGTTGATGTTGATGGCGATGATGAAGAAGAAGAGTCAGGTTTGAGCAGACCATTACCACTAAAATGAGAAGGCGAGGTACCTTAGCATTGGTGGTCGTGCTGGAGAAGGAGCAGCCTTATTAGACCTTGATCCTACCTAAATAATCAAGGGATTTAGGT